CCCCCACCCCAAACTGTCACTATGCTCAACAAACCAAATATCATCAAGACCCAACAACCACGCGCCAGCTTCTAGTCTCAACCACAATCTCCATCAAGGACAGAATCACTCCTTCAGAGGATCATGCCCCCAATTCTTCAACGACTTGTAACTCCTACTATTTGTATCCTGCTTCGCACGCTCCTCCTGCGCCAGATGCCGCTTGCAGTACGAGACCGCCTTGCGCATATGATCTAGATCCTCATCCGAGTACCTGGACGGATCCCTAGAGGGGTTATGTTCGAGAATGGCCACGATTTTGCGGCCGCTGGTAGGACGTTAGCTTGCTTCGATTGGAGAGGCGAGGAATGCGACAGGGGATACCTCTCATGACCGATCGTCTCGCCGGATTCGCCCTTCCAGCCTGAGGACTGGGATTGTTCTTCCTTGAGCCAGGCGCGGAGTTCGTTGGGGGTCATGTTGACCAGGTCGTTGAATTCACTTTGGGCATTAGTTATGAGGCCGACGAAGGGGATGGGACGTACTCGATGACGGTGTTCTTGTCTTTCACCATTTTGGATGTATTTTTTGTCTTATTGCTGATAGTGTAAGTAAATCTTTGCATTGGCCGGTCTTGTCTTATATAGAGAAGAGAAGCGCGTAGAGGGTTGCTTTTGACGAATGCATACAGCGTTGACGTCATGGATTCTTCGCGGAGATCGAGATGATCGACTGTTTGTCGCAGAAGTTATGGACAACCCCAAATGGGCAAAGAATGAAGGCAAATGTCCACGCTCCCCCCATATCGTCTTATAAGTTCCTTATAATTGGCACATGGATTGAGCCCAAAGTATAATCTCACTGTATTATGATCCAAAGAGCTCATAGGTATCGTCCTCTTAGGTTTAGTTGGACCGCTTGAAGGCTCTTCGTCAAGGACGTCATGAACGGTCTGCTCCACAACATCTACGACACGGTCACGAATACCAAACATTCAGAATTAGCCCCTCGCCCCTCGAGCTCGGATGGTAGGAGTCCAAGCCTGTGACCAATTGGCCAGCCAGGATCCTATCCCTCCCTCAACCGCAAAACCCTGCAATTTTCCCTCCTATCGGAGACACGCCGGAGAATCAGCCGATGGTCAATGCCTGAGTCCTGCATTTGTCTCTCATCATTGTAGCATGTTTCCACCAGGATGGCCATACCAGCTAAAACAGCTAGTGGCCAGGGCTTATTATGTGTTTCTTGAAGTGCAAGTACTATGTCGCAACTGGGTTAAAGAGCTCATTCCATGACAAGGTGCTTTACGTGCAACCATCCTCATCTTGGCATACGATGGAGGAGCTGTTGGTATGCGCAACGTATAGGCGCTGCTGAGAGGATGATTGCACGTAAAGCACCAATCCTCCACCTTGCCCCTGTAAATGCGTGTAGAAATGCCAGTATAACAGTTGGCGCGAATTGTATGCCGCACTCCAAGCAACACAATACGAGCCTGCCCCGGGCCAGTAGCTGTGTTAGTTCTTTGTCTCAATTGGTCAAACTCCTCCTGTGGCATCATTCCACTCAGGTCAGAGATGGGTATGGCCATCCTGGCGCAGCCAGAATCATAGCATACGTCCATGGTAAATGACTGGTTGTTCCCCCATGTGACGCAGGTACCCTTGCCCCTCTAGAGGCGCTAAGATGGAACTCTCCATCCTCAGTCCAGCTGCACTGGAACACTCTCAGCCAATTAGGTCTGTCCTGCATGATGAGCTTCGCACACCACTGTCCATAGACAGCAGTTAATGGGAGGTAAATCTTCTCTTGCTTGCTCTTGTTGGAGCTTGACGCAAATGGCTCATGAGCCCTAAGAGGTCCAGCAGGGCCTAGGATTCAATCCCATCATATATTAACTTTATAAGCCAAAATGACGCCAGAGCAGAGGGCCAGTTGGGAGGATGCTCGCGGTCAGTGTTCTGGGGTGGCAGTGGGATGAGGAAGTCAGGGCCATCTGGGTGGCTTTTATCAAAGTTAGCTCTATTTCATACGTTTGCGTTGATTAGTAGCTTACTAAAGGTGAGTGATATCCTGGTGTATTAACACCAGGTTGGCGACATTCTCAGGGGGAACTCCGTATGCACCGGGGCGGCTGGTGATATCCGCTAAAAGCGTGATAATGTCACTCAAGCTGAAGGTGTACGCCTGTCGAAAATCAACCTGGCCATTATCCTCGGCCTAGACACCCGTGACCCATTGATTAGACTCGACGTTGTAGTACTGGGTTGTGGATTATGACTTACAGATGTTTCCATGATGGGCTCAAAGTTATAGAAAGCAACTGTTCAGCCATGGCGAATTACTCTCGATGCCGCTGCCTACAATCGGGCCAGCGGGTGAAGGTCGATAGAAGAAGGCTGACCAGTGTTGGTTGAGACGTTGAGCAGATCCAGGTGATCGAGCATGACAAGATTCTCACGCACCAGGTATGTTGCTCCCTCATCATCCAGTTCAAATGGCATTCGTGGATACCTGTTGGCATGACTTTGCCTTTTCCTCCGCATCAGACCTGCCAACAGCAAGTTCTGAGAAGGTATTCCATATTCCAAGGAATTGATACTTGTTTGGGCCTCGGAGAACCCCGAAGTTTATGGTCAACCTCAGTCTTGAAGGCGATCGCGAGTTGCATGATTCGGTCTATGACGAGGAGAATGCAACAAACTTGAGCAGTGCGTTCGAGGATAGTCCAATCAGACATTGTGAAAGTGAATTGTCAAGGTATCAAGGGAACTTGGAAATGGGTACTTGGAAGAAAGGAAAAGAGAAACAGATCTTAGGAATGGGGCTGACTGCAGACTGTAGAAGGAGAGTAGATCATAGAAGGACTGAGTCCTCATCGGATTCATACCCTCGGCTTCTTATGACCTTGGTGCTGGGCTCCCACCAGGGAAGGAACAAGCCACCTGCGAGTATGTTAGCAAAGTCCGACAAGAACCAAACCCTTCAACTGCAAATTCCGCCGACTGAAACGTCGGGAGAAGGTGATACCTACGGGGACGCATTGCCGCTTCTGGCGGAAACAGAAGGAGCACGTTTTGGCTTAAACCAGATGCGGATACTGGTTGACAGAGAACTCAATGGCTTCGCAGCACCCAATGAGCTTGAACAGTTGCCGAACTCGCTTGCAAATCCATCCTCCAGCCAGGACTTCTCGATGTCCGCGCGAGTCTTGAAAAGGATCACGATGAAGCCACTCACGAAAACCTTCGCGCCGACCGCAGATGGGAACATTTCACGTAAAATGTGAAGGTCATCTTGAGAAAGAAACCTTCGGGGATTCAAAGCAGCGCGAATAGGATCTGGCTGATATCGGGGCCACATAGTGGTTGTATTTTCCGTAATCCCAACTGGATGGGAGTGAATCTCCCGACTCCCTGCATCAAATCATTGTTGTAGTCAAGGGAGATCGTGAGGGCAGTCCTTACGGTGGCGCCTGGTGTCTCCAGCCAACGGGTAGTCATCATCATTGTGTTATCAGGGCCCGGGGCTACTACCCATATCCATTTCTCATCTGAGTCTTGTACAGCATATACGCCGTCGACTTGGCTAAGAGAAGGGTGTGCTAGTGGCATAAGGAACGGCCAGTGCCAGTTGGCCAGGATAAGAATGGGAAAATGCATCGGCGCAGGGAGACTGTTGCAATGCTTCTTCGAAAGTGTACGTGGTATGAACCGCTTGTTGCTGGTGCACATCCGTTCTCCTGAAATATGAGGAGTGAGATATAGTGACCATGTTCAAGCAGTTCATCAGCGGCAGCTAACGGAGTTCCTTCAGCTTCATCTGGCGAGCTGTACTCGCTTGCAGGGAAATAGGACACAGAGGCATTTTCGGGCCACATCTCGTAACCCGCTGCCCAGGGTTCTGGTGCGCTTGATTCTGGATCTTTTGGCCATTCTGGTAGCTTCCGAAGAATTCCAAATAGAGAGCGTATCGGTGAGCCCGAGTCTGTAGCATATACCCATGCTTACTGGGCCGAAAGCTGACTGTGCGGATTCCGGGAGTTGAGCAACACGAAGGCCTCAGGCATATTCAGAATAAGAAATCGAGGGGTATCGATGAGCTAGAGTCTCATGGCTTCCGTAGCTGCGTACTGGACTTAGACCAGCCAACCGCCGGATGTGCGAGGTCCATTGGCGTAACTGCTCGGCGCTCGGTGCGAGGAGCAATTCTCTAAGTTGACGAAATGCTGCCTTCAGTATTTGGCCGCCCAACGTTGGGGCTTCTAATTTTGGCCTAGGCTGAAATCCAGAGTTGGCCCCCTGATTAAACATTGTAGCTAACATCCTTACGGGCATGCCTAGAGTGCTCTGTTGCAGCAGATTGTTCTGAACCATTGTTAGTCGTGGCTAGGAAGAGCACTGTGTGGGGAGAAAGAGAGAAGGGGACTTACTAACGCGCCTAAAGAACCCAGAAAAGCGGAAAGAAAGAAGAAACGAAACGAAAAGATATAGGAAAGGCAACGAGAGCAAAACAAGAAAAGGAGGAAGAAGTATCACTCCATCATGCTTAAGACTCATAATCCTCCTGTACCTTCGCAGCCATAATGTTCTTCTCTTCCGCTTCAACTTTCTTTCTTTCTTCCGCTTCCGTCTCTTAGATGGGCCAGACTGCTTGGGAGAAGCTGTTATAGTACTAGACTGTTCAGAAATGTAGAATGTCAGGAATGTTATACTGAGTAGACGTATACCTGGGTTATTCATTTCAGGTAGTACGAAAGCCTTCGCATCCTGAATGTCTTTGTCGGTCAGCTTTTCATTGACAAGATACGTAGGATGTTTGTGGTATAGCCAGAGGACAAATTCATATTCCCAGGTACGCCGTGCGCAACGCCATTCGCACATCAGTTTGGTCATTTTCGCAAGGTCGTCCGTGACGTCTTGGAGGTGAGCATTGAGGAGTTCGAGTGCCTTTTCGTTATTGAAACGTTTATCACGATGGCTGGGGTCGAAATACAGGGAGGAACGACGGATAAATCGTCCGCCGTCGTCAATGAAGTCGTACCAGGATCCGTCGCTTTTTCCTTTGGTTCGGGGTCTGAGGTGGGCAGCTTGGTAGGCGTTAGAAGTGATTACCTTAGGTGCGGTTTTGGTCGAAGTTGCATGCATGCTCCTTGTCATGCCCGCCTTCATTAGTGTAAGGGGGTGTTCCTTCCAGGCTGGTGTTTCTTCTGGGGTATCGAAATCCATCTTGTCAGGAAGGAGTTTGGGCCGGATAAATCTTTGATATCGGGCAATTGTCGAGGGGAACGACCGTGAGCGCCATTATGTGGTCTCTGTTCCACGCCGATTCCCTGACATGGAGCCTGGATTCTTCCTCACAGAAGTTGGTAGGTTCGGTTGGCAGGTTCAAGCTCAATCGGACCTGGTGGTCTTGCCTACTTGGTTGGTAAGCCATGAGTGATGCGAGTAACTGCCACCCGCTGCTCTTGACCTTGGACATTCTTGCGCTGGTAACAAGTTATACGTGCCTGTCGCTGGGCAGTAACCATTGTTGCATATCCGTGATGAGGTCATTATATGTTTCTGAGACAGCTGCCTCGAAAATAATAGTGTGAAGTCGCATACGGGTTTGTGGGTCTGCTAGGACATATGCTTGGTCAGGAATCTTCTCATATGACTGCGCCTTTTTGCTGTAGCCTTGATCTTGCCATAGAGATAAACTGAGCTCGTTCATAGCAATGTGTTTTAATTCTTCTGGAGTGAAACCTCCTTTTCAGTTGTGAAATGCACTTTCTTTTTCATGGCTTTGCTCAGCTCCTCCCGCTTGCCTGTCTTTGACAAGCTTTGCGGGTTTTATTGTCAGATTTGTCTCTCTCATTAGACCCCGATGTCGAAGCTCGACAATCGCAGCGATCATAGACATGTTCCAAAGCGACGACATGAGGAAGAAGGCGTTGAACTGTCCTTCTGGTATCCGCATCCGAGGTGTTTGCTCACCACATGGCTGACCGACGCAATATTTCGAAGCAGTTTCAGTGCTGCATGTTCAGTCGCTGCATCTGAGCTCTGAGCTACTAGGAGCAAAAATGTCAGTACAGTCATGAAAATAGCTGACTATAAGACAACCACTTGGAATGTCACGGATGTCATACCGATGAATTAGGCAGCCCAATCAACAAGCATTGACCCAGAACCTTCTCGTTCTGGATGAGTTCTCGTCCCGATTTTGTCATTGCATGCAGTCATGTTTTCTATCTCCATACGAACGTGGAGAGTGTCGTAAGCCGACTTCAATATGGTTGAAGTCGTAAGAGGTTGAACACTAGGTGATGATTTGTGTCGAATAAAAGCTGCTCTTCAAGGGGACGAGGGGCGTCACTGCTCCAGTGATGGGAAAGGTTGGAGCAGGAGAGTTGGAAAGAGAGGGAATGAGCTGGTAAGAGACAGAAAGAGTGAATGAGCCATCATCATCTTGCTTGAGGCAGTGAATGTGGATAAAGAATGCTTCTAGAATGAAGTTGTGAATCCAACAAAGGAATAAGCCAAAGGCATCACATGTAATGTAACATTGTAAACACGTCTTTTTAAATTGAATAGAGCCGCCTAAAGGAAACAAACCTTCATTTACCAAAAGAAGAACGCAGTCAACCGGACAACTGCCAGGATTATACGAGCCACCAATCGCCACCACTCTCCAGTCGGCGACTCCGAAGTAAGCGAGGACACCCTCATTAAATGCTGACACCTCTTGCAGGGACACGCACCTACCCGCTTACGCCCCATCGTGCCACATTTTCTGACAAAATCAGCTCGCGTATAAATACTCGCCATGTAACCAACCAAGCAGCAGCTCATACACGCCTGTGGCACACCCGCCTCTCCAGACCAGTCAAAATGGAAACACTCAAGGAAACCCTCTACAACCTCCCCAAGCCACCGGCTCGCACCCGCACCAAGCCCATGCAGGTGATCTGCGTGGGCCTCCCGCGCTCCGCCACGGAGAGCCTCGCCGTTGCGCTGCGGAAGCTTGGTCTGACCCCCTACCACGGGTGGGACATCTCCTTTGAAGAGAACGCGGGGTACATTGAAGGGTGGGCGAAACTGGCGCGGGCGAAGTGGAACGGGAAGCCGGATGGAGAGTTCCGTGTGTCGCGCGGTGAGTTCGACGCGCTGCTCGGGCACTGCGATGCGGTGGTTGACACGGCTGCGTCGTTCTTCCCGGCGGAGTTGATGGAGGCGTATCCCGAGGCCAAGGTGATCCTGAACACGAGGAAGGATATGAATGCGTGGCACCGCAGCGCGATCAAGACTCTGGTGGAGGAGGTTCCTGACCGCTGGTTTCTGTGGGTGATGCGGCTGTTCTGCGCCGATTTGTTCTGGTTGTGGGAGTTGTATGTCACGCATGGCTATCCGGGATTGTTTCGCGGGGGATCGGTGCGCACGGGGATCGTGAAGAACGGGAAGTGGGTTTATCGTGAGTATTGTGCTATGATCCGGGGATTGGTGCCTCCTGAGCGATTGCTGGAATGGAGTGTTGAGGATGGATGGGAGCCATTGTGCGAGGTAAGCAGCTGTTGTTCACGCACTCCGGATGAGGATACTGATACTGATACTGATTGTCCGTGTAGTTTCTACAGAAAGATGTGCCATCGGAACCATTCCCCAAAACCAATGATCCGGCCAAATTCGCCGGTAATGTCGAACGAGTGCTCAAGCCGCGGTACATGAGGGCATTCCGCAATCTGGTGCTTACGGTCAGCTCGACGGCTGTCTTGACAACGGCGATTGTGTTGGGAGTCAGAGAGGGAGGAGTGCCATGGCAGGCAATGGCCTCCATTCGCGGTCGGTTGGGATGGTTTGTCTGAGTCTCAGTCTCAGTCTCAGTCAACAGGCGTCTGGCCTTTGGAGAATAATATCTCGGTTGTTTGAGCCATAGACCTAAAGACCCACAGTCTCCAGCCTAGTGAGTGGAGATGATCCCATTTGAGCACATTATCGGACACTCTTCCCTACTCTGCTTGTCTCTCGACAGAAACTGAAATATCCACAGCGGAAATCTTGGCAACGCCTTTGAGCAGATTTCCCTCTTGGCAGCCCACTCGCTTGTCGCATGTAGATTCCGTCCTCAGTATCAGTCGGCTATAAAGACTACCTCCAATGCCTTTCATTCTTTTTGACTACTACAATTATCAAGCAGCAGGTCAAGATGCTCTCCCCTCGCGTCCATAGCATGGACATCCCCCATTCAGGCCCCGGTGTCGAGCAGCACTGGGGCTACTATAACCGTCAACTTCCTTGCACCAGCGACAAGGGCAAATGCGACTATCTCGATACCGTGTATCACTCGCACGACCTGTCCGTTCTTTACAGTGCCATTCTCTGGGGTGTAATTCTTGGAGTCCTGTTGCTCTGCGCGCTGAGACGGCTCATCCGCGTCCCCAGAACACCAAACACTTGCAGTCAAGATGGAGAGACGGGAAAGAGTCGGCCCCAGAGCTTCTTCTATCGCATTCAACAATTCCTCAAATCAGTCTACCATCGCCACCTACTTCGAGAATGGCTCCCCGGCGTATTCGGCTACACCGGCTTCAACATCCTCCTCCTGCTCATCCTAACCGCCTACCTCACCATCTTCTCCTTCGTCGGCATCGTCTACAAAACCTGGTACAGCCCCGTCTCGGGCTATCCCAACCTGCACCAGACCCGCGTCGGGCTCGGGCCCTGGGCCGACCGTCTCGGCGTCCTGGCGTACGCCCTCACACCCTTGGCCGTCCTCCTGGCCACCCGCGAGTCCCTACTCTCACTCCTCACAGGCATCCCGCACCACCACTTCATCTTCCTGCACCGCTGGCTCGGATATATCATTTATGTTCAATCCGTCCTGCACACAATCGGCTGGATCGTCGTCGAGGGGAAGCTCTACCAGCCGCAGCCCTCCACCTGGAACGACTTCATCGCGCAGCGGTACATGATCTGGGGCGTCGTCGCCCTGATCTTCCTTTCGTTCCTGGTCTTCTGCTCCGCGAAGTGGTGCATCCGGGTCACCGGGTACGAGTTCTTCCGCAAGTCGCATTACATCGTGGCGATGCTATTCGTCGGCGCCTGCTGGGGCCACTGGGCGATGCTGTCGTGCTGGATGACCGCGTCGCTGGCGGTGTGGCTCTTGGATCGCGGCGTGCGCTTGCTGCGGACTGCCGTGCTGCATGCTACCGCCGGTAATCCCGATTCCGATTCCTCCGAGAAATCCTCGTGGTCTGTGGGCGGGTTGCGCGTGCACATCCCCGCTGCGCGGATGACGTCCTTCGCCAACGATGCCGACGGCGACGTCGTCCGGCTGGAGTTCACCCTTGCGCACCGCCCCTGGACCATCGGCCAGCATTTCTATCTCTGTTTCCCGGACCTGAGTATCTGGCAATCGCACCCCTTGACGCCGAGTAGCGTGCCTGGTGCGGAACAGAGCCAAGCCCAGGCCCAGGTCCATACGTACATCATCCGCGCGAAAAGCGGACTCACGCGCCAGCTTGGTCTGCTGGCTAGAGGGGACCAGGCGGCGACGTCGGTTGTGCTCGCAGGACCGTACGGGCAGTCGATCCTGGATGCCGAAATGCTGCAGGACGACGTCAACACCCTCTGTGTCGCCGGCGGCACGGGCGTGACTTTCGTTCTGCCGGTCCTGCTGCAGATGACTCGGCGAGCGGGATTCCCCGCTCGGACCGGGCTGCTCGAGTTCGTCTGGATCATCAGGCGCAGAGCCGATGTCGAATGGATCGAGTCGGAGATGGACGAGTTACAGGCTGCCGCGGACAGCTGCGCCAATTTCCGGGTCAGGGTGTTTGTGACGCGCGAGGCCGAAGAATTGAAAGAAGATCATGCTGGAGACAAGGAGCTGGTCAAGGAGAGTATCCAGCGGACTGCTTCTGATCCCTCCGGGATGGGGGAGGCCCCATTTACAGTACAGTACATGGGCTCCACCGAGCCTGGAGACCGACACCCGGATGTGCCCTCGCAGGTCACTGGTTTCGTGTCGAGGACGGTGCATGGCCCGACACGCGTACTTGCCAGCGGTCCGACAGGGCTGGTATCCGATTTGCGGAGGGTGGTTGCGTCCTGCAATGGTCCTGCTCAGGTATGGAGGGGGGATGAGCGGTACAATGTACAGCTGGTGCATGACGATCGCCTGGAGTGGTAGACGGTGGTAGACTGGGAAATAATGGTTGATCATGCGGGTCGTGGTCAATATGAATGTGAATGCGAGTGTTATATACCCAGTTGAATTTAATGCACTGATTGCTAACTGCCTACATCCCGTAACCGCTCATACTCGGAGGTAAATCCTCCACCCGCGTCCCCCATGCACTCTCCGTAGCCCCCAACTCGAGCTCCAGAACGCCCCCCTCGACGAAGAAATCATGAGAGATCCAGTTCTTCGTCCACGGCTTCCCGTCGCGTTTCGCACTCTGGATATACACCCCCTTGTAGCTGGGATCGAAATTGGTATTTCTCACGGTTGCAACCTTGCCAGTCTCCCGGTTGCGAATGCTGACCTCCTTGAAGAAAGGGGGAGTTATCAGGTAGACATCCTGCCCGTGGACCGGGAAGAGACCCATCATGCTCAGCGCCGCAAATGAGCCCATTGCTCCGCCGTCGTCATTCCCTGGAATTCCCGGGATTGTTGCGTTGAATTGGGACGGGATGTAGAAATGCGCTCGTTCGGCGGAGAGCCCAGGCCGCCCGGAATAGTGGAATTGGAAAACAGTCAAGAAAGCTTGTTCGTCTCCTACGTAGAGTATGCCGGAGTCGTGGAGATAGGATAGTCGCGATGTGAATGTCTCCGGGCCGCCGAGATGGGTGACGAGAGCGGCCATGTCTTGCGGGACGTAGCTGAACGGGTCAGCGTTAGTTCCAAAATCGGGGAAGACGGGGACAAACTCACAATGTGTAGAGCCAGCAGCTCCCCTCATAGGTCTCGTGTCCATCTGGATTGAGGTAGCACGAGGTAAAGTTGTACAGCGGACTGCAAAAGATCGGATCCTGATATCCCCATGTTCCATTTGGGAAGCGCGGCTGCAGGAACCCGGTAAAGCCTGTATCCACCCCGTTGATGTACGACCTCTGATCCCCCTTGAACATATTCTGCCAGTTCGACGAGCGTTGAATGTACTTCTCATAGTCGCTGTCGTGGCCCATCCGCTTGGCCATCTCCGCAATGCAGAAATCGTTGTACGCGTACTCGACAGTCCGCGAGATACTGCGCGTATGCGTGCCAATCCCATAAGGATCATAGTCGTCGGTCGGGATATATCCAAGAGTCTTCCAGCTATGGATGCCTCCTCGGCCTTCCACATTCCAGTTGGATGGCTCGACTTCCGCGTCCTTGACCACGGCTTCGTAGGCGGTAGCCCAGTCCACATCGCTGACGTTCTTCAAGTATGCTTCGGCGATGAGCACATCGGCGTTGGAGCCTCCCTGCGTGAACCCCTTGCACAGTGACATGCGACAGTCAGGGAGGTATCCTTCGTGGCGGTAAATATCTACCAGGCTTCGGATCATCCGTGACTGCGATAGAGGGTCCAGCAGAGTTAGCAACTGATGCACCCCGCGATACGAGTCCCAGATGCAATAGTAGCTGTCATAGTACGGCTCATCACTCTCCCACAGCGGATTCTCCCCCGTGTAATCCTGGGGACTGATCATGGCGCGGTACACTCCACTCCAAAACACTTTCTGAAGATCAGCAGAGACACCCTCTGCGTCAACCTCAATCACGCCCAGCTTTTCTCTCCATGCTTGCTCGGCCGCAGATACCGTGCCCTCAAAGTCAAAATCGGGCTGCTCTCTCTCCGCGTTGGAACATGCTTGTTCGACGCTGATGAAGCTCACCCCAACCCTGGCCAGAAGTGTATTGTCCACCGGAGCATGGAATCGGGCAAAAGTCCCGGCCGAGAGCGTCGACGCCGTGTTTGTTCCTCAGGAGTCACCGAGACTGTCGTTTGGTTCGTACCTGCCCGGCTCTTGAGCCACACACCCGTGTCACGGAGGTCGGCGCCTTTGAAATCCGCGCAGAAATGAAGATCGTAGTTGCCTATCCCAAAGCTCGGATTGAAAGTGCCGTTACCGGTCAATCGCCCTGTCGATGGGTCCACCGAGGCGGTGCCGTTCGTGCGGGACTGGGGCAGATCTATCAAATCGACTAGAATCACCGGGCTGAGTGGTTCGGCGGAGGCGCCGCTAAAATTGAAACGATACAGAGCTGACCGGTTCGTCACCGTCATCTCGGCGTTTACGCCATTCGCCAAAGCGATGCTAAAATAGCCTGCTCGGGCTTTGGGGGAGTTCGGCACCCACGCAACCGCCCGATCAGACTGCTGCCACTTGCATTTATTGAGGTCATCCCCTGGGCAGCTCGCTTGAGCAAAGAGGGGGAAATTGCCCAACGATGGCGATCCACCAGTTCCGCTGTCATGCATATGACTGAAGCCAGTTACAACCTTGGTGTCGTATGCGAAGCCAGCTTGATTCTCGCCTCGCGTGTCTGCTACTGCTTTGGCCATGCCAAAGGGCAGAGTCGCTCCGGCGAAGGAATGGCCACCATTTGACGTGCCGATCAACGGATCAACAAAGTCCAACACGTCGAAGTGCGAGTCTTTTTTCTGGTGACCATTCACAAATGTAGATGCAACAAGTGCACTTAGCACGGCCGGCAAAAGTCCTTTCGACCAAAGACCTAACATTTTGAAGAAATGAGTCTAACTTTCAAAGTGTAATCAACACTAGAACATCATCCGCTTGGTACTGAAGAGAATAAAGCGCCTCAGATTCATTCGATGCCCGCGGCGCGTGTAGACCAAAGGATTTCAAGGCATTCCAGGGGCTGGTGGCTGGGAAGGAAGGTTAAATCCCTTCCTTCCCCGCGTCAAGATTCTCATTTTTCAAGTCACATTATAATGTAGCAATCACTTTGAGATGGATCACACGTCAAGCGATCAATCATCACCCGGTCCAAATGCACCCCTCATATTGATGTTGAATGCATGCAGCGGAGTGGCTTTGGCCGCGGGGATTTGCAGGGAGAACTTCCCAAAGGGGTTTTCGGCAAGATGCAGTCGCATAAATAGTCAAACTAGTAGTTACTAGTAGCAGCATTGCGGAGAATCGATTTCAAGAAATCATGCAAAGCCTGCGCAGAACCCTGTTTGCTCTCCCAGGGCAAAACCCCGCATTGAATAGTAGGGCAAGCAGACAAAGATTTGACCTACTGAATGCTAAAAACCCAGCTATTTTATAGAAGAAAGACGAAGAGATGCCAAAAGTAACGCAACTGACATGTCTCCAGTGTCACTTTGGCCGAGATTGACTGTTCGAGCTATTAATCTTGGAAGAGGACACCGACGCAGATCAACTACCGGTCAAATCGAAGTCGTAGTTTGCACTGCACAACAAAAGCTTGAGCTTCCAGGCTGAACTGTCGACAGATGGTTTGACATCAACTAATGGTAGCTGTCGTGGCTGTGGGTAACCGCAGTCTGTCCTAGCCATGCACGACGTCAGGACACGACCAAATATCTCCTCATTGTTAAAATGTGCGAGCACAACGGTGTATGTATGCTCGGCTTTGTAAATGAGCAACCTTCTGGAACGGACTAGATCCAGGCCGAAAGTGAGGCACCATTCCACTACCCATCAAAAGTACACATGCGTATTCTGCTGAAGGAGCTTGGCATAGCTCCCGAAGGCGTACAAAGCCTACCGACCAGCAAGCAATGATCAAGATATGTTTCGTGAGGAAGGTTGGCGACAGGTCAAATCAAATCCATGACAATTCTGTCCCATGACTTTCCAGTCGTGTCAGGCGAAGGAGTCTGGATTCTTGGCTCCAGGTGAGAGGGGGGATTGAGAACAGATTCATTTATTGGCATCCGAGAGGGATAGTGATTCTTGGTTCTCAAAGCCTCTCTTCTCAAGCTGGCATTTTCCGCGCGCAAATCCTGGATTTCCTGGAGCAGCAACTGTTGGGACTCTAGCTCCAACATCATTGTTCCCAATTTCGCCAAGAGCTCGGGACGAAAATCTTGAGATGTAGGAAATTTCCCATGCTGGATCAAAAACTGCCGAGCTCGAGACATGATGGCCGAGTTTGATGCCGTGTTGAAACAATTCTGGGCGCGCTGCTGCTGACTACCATCGGGCGAAGAATGTACAGGTGGACTTCGCAGGCTTGACTGCGCAGCGAGGACATCGGTGGGACCTCTGAGAGCATGCATTATAGCTTGAGATGGAACGCTGATTACACTAGGTGTGCTGCTCCGAGAGACGTCAGGTGAAGCCGCTGATGAGTTGATTTGAGGTGGCGTCTGGTCCCATCGCTTGTCTCTGCAAGAAGGACAATAAAAATTGCCTGTAGATGTAGCTGTAACAGGATCTGACAGACATCTTGCATGATATGACCTACAACAAGTCTCACAAAGCATCAAATCATCTGGACTTCGACACTCTGAGCAGACCAAATTGTGAGGCTTCCCTGCTTCTGCAATCGCATGTATACGTTAGTGATTCTGTACGAACGTCATCTGGAACGAGGAACTTACTGATCCAGTCCGCGTAAATACGGCTTTTTTCATTATCTGTGAACACATGAGAATCGACATTCGAGGGCACCGGATGGCCAAGCAGTCGCAACAATGTCTCATGGTCCGCTCCAATCTTTTCGCAAGGCGACCTGTCAAGACCTGCACAACCTTGACTAGTGTCACTTTGGCTAGCCGGCCTTCTTAGCATGTCAGCAACAGGGTCACGCTTTTCTTCGAAGAGAATTCACGTATAAGAGTCAATCTACAAGAATGCTTAATGAGAAATCCCAAACCTCTGGGAGATAGGAGGCGGATACTGCCGGGCGGTGAGACGATTCCGAAGGACATGCCGACTTTTATCCGAACGAGCGCCGCCCACGTCACTTGACTTCCTCCAGTCAATGATCCATCGAGATCCCTGACGGCTTAAGCTTTTCCTTGCTTCTTGGCTGACCATGCACTTTCTTCCTTCATCTACGATCTAAAATTTTCTTCACTATCTTCGTCGCTGTGGATTGAGATGAAACCCTCAGTCGCGTTCAAAAGAAGAGGTCATCTCCCCGCAAATTGAATGCCGCACAGTAAAGATCGACAATGCCTGGGGTACCATCGAACAAGGCTTGTGAGCGTTGTAAAAAGAGACATCTCAAGGTGCGTTCAGGTCAGCTCATTGGTCAATTTGACGCATTTTCCTGACCTTTTCAGTGCGACGAAACGCGGCCGGGCTGTCAGCGTTGTACCAACGCCGGCGTGGAGTGCCCTGGTTATGTCCAAACTCGCAAGTTCATAGACCAAGGTGCTTCTGTAAGGCGTCGATACGCACCTTACAGTGAAACTCATCCAAAGCCACATGCAGCCAAATCAGCGGAAGGTGTAAGTCCCTGCGAATGTCCCTTATCGCTTGTTTATGATCATGTCTCATACCAAGACAGGTAACCGGTAATCTCCCAGCCGGCTTAGAGCAAAATGTGATACAGACTCCTGTTGACCAGGGTCTGTCTCGCACCAACTCGGCCGCATCAATGAACTTGGCCCTGGGGACCGACGAAGTCACTCAATTAGCGGTCCGGTCAACTCCAAATGAGCTAGTGTCAACCATGCAAGACACACCGATGCAAACAGACGGCATGGCCGATGTTGTGAATCAACTTGCCCTACAGGCTGGGCCAACCGAAATTGCAGGTTCGGACCAGCAGAGTGCTTCCAGTCGGAGCAACGTACAGAGCTCATTTTCGCCAAATAAGGCCGCAGCTGGAGGTTTCGCTGTGCCAAATAATGTCTACGGCGAGCTCAAGAAATCCACTGCCGCTACGCGCTTGAACTCTTCGAGAAGTCCCTCACAGCGTAGTGAACAGGAGGAGTTTCAGGATATATTCTCGGAGCTAATGACTGGTACTGAGCACGAGCTTGCTTTTCTTACGAGGCACTTCTCAGCGACTCTGGGGCCCTGGTTCGTACAGACTCTCTCAGGTAGCTACCTCTTGTGCTCATTCATCTCAGGCTAGACATCTCGGACTCTGGAAAGTTCTTTTCGGCATACGTTCCAGTTCGCGCGATTCACGATCCTTGTCTCAAGTATGCAATCGCAGCTCTGGCAGCGAAGCATCTGGGTAGAGTCAAAGGCGCAATATCTCCGGCCGGTGGAGGATTGTTTACTAGTCCACCGACAATGGAGGTGTACCCTAATCCCGCTCAGGTGGATTGGTTTTTAAAAGCTGCCAATTACTACTATCTTGCCGCTTCTCACATCAACGGCTCGGTCTCCGATGCCTATTCAGCTGTCTCTAGCACAGCCGTCTTGGAGTCGCCAGTGGACACCGTGAGTCGATGGCTGACCCTCCAGTTACAGCAAACTGGACATGGACCTCCTACGGAGCAACCAGTTGTAGGGACCTTTTGGAGAAAAGTGGAAGACTTACTCGCCGCAACGGTCATACTCACAACGTACAAGCTCTTGGATGAAGCTGGAGAAATGTGGCAATCGTACGTTGCAGTGGTCAAACTCGCCTCTCATCAAGTGCTTCGCTAACCATCTCTGGACAGTCATCTCAAGGGAGCCAAGTCTGCGTTCGATGGATTGTTGCAAATATACAGCAACTATGCAGAGCCCCCACAATTTTCACACGGGATTGCGGCTTGCTTTTTTGACTTTGCTCGCTTTGACTATCTAGGAGCATACTTTACTCGGTCTTTGACACATTTCGATCCGGACAGCCTCACATTATGGAGAGCGGCCGGCGTCCCCATTGACGAACATGGAAACCTCCGGTTAGAGAGTGGACTGGCTCGAAACCCAATGATGCTCCAACGGGAGGACTTGGCAGCAAACAGTCTGATCTGGCTTCTGAACAAGGTTCTCAACTTCTTGGCGGTTTCGAAAAGGTCCCAGGTGGAGCAGTGGGTTGGTCAGCCACCGACCGATTCACCTTCTCCAACCGTCGCATCTCCACGTTCTCAGCCGACTACATCCACCTGGTTGAGGCTCTGCTTTGAGTTTCAGACGTGGGTCGAGCAGATGCCCGAGACTTTTCGCCCCTGCCTGCGTCTTGATCGCCCCAAGGATCTGTCCAAACTGCCTGAGATTGGCCAGATGCCGTTCCCCGAGGTCTTCTACGGCATGACATCTTGTGCCGCCGCGATGCAGCAGTATCACTTTGGCCGTCTTGCATTGTCGCTCAACCGTCCGCCTGATGTGATCAGCGCACCGAGCACCGCCTTTGACCGGCTACAAAACTATCGCGAGTTGACGAAAGAGGTGGACTACCGCTGCAAGGAGATTTGCGGTATCGCTCTCGGCAGGCCGCAAGGTGGTGTACGTGTCTACATGATACCCCTACTCTTTGCCGTGGGGCAGTGCCTCGAGAGCCCCGAAGAACGCCAGATTATCGGAGACCTGCTCCGCGGGGTCGAAGCTGACCTGGGATGGGCGACTGGTTCGCAAATCCAGAAGCTCCAGAGTCTGTGGGATCAATGATAAATCAATGTTGAGCAAAGGTTGTTGAAACTTGCCAACAGGCATCATTAGAAATCCCCAACATGAAAAGGCTTGGCAGCAAGATTGACGGGCATTCCTGCAACATGCCGAAGTCAAGCCTGATTCCTTAAGTGGGCCGGCACTACGTCATTGACGTTCTAAAAGCTTTATCACAGTCTCGGAAGAGACACAATTAATCAGGGCCGGCAGAAAGCCTGCCCGCTATTCAGACACAGACATTACTCTGTGTCAAGAACTGGAATAGACGCAAAATGACGGCCCTCCGACCACACCGACTTAGATGGGCCATCGATACATAGCACGATACAACATATATCAAAGGCGTCACTGTCGAATTCGTCCCTTAATCCTAATTGGAGTCTGTGTACCCTGCAAGGAGATTTACACACCAGTGAAATGCAGCTTGGCCAACGCAAATAAACGGAGTACAAATCTGTGATATCATCAAAAGTTCCGAGTACCGGAAGTTCGTCCCGGGTTTATAACGGCAATCAATTGATTCTTGGACTCTCGGAAATCAACCCCGAGTCTATGCGAAAACATCAGAATAGCGTCAGGCTCACCCGAAAAAAGAAAAGTAGCACGTTGTGTGTTAAGCTGGAAACGAAATCTCGATTGATGCCTATACCAGGTATCCTAGGAAGCATCTTATGCTCAAATATATTCGCTCCAGTTATCAGAGTCACCAATTCGCCAAGCTGATGCAAATACCATGCAATGTAACCGAATGAACAAGAACATGAAATGCAAAGATCAAGAATTCAGAATGCACAAGCTTGTCAGTTTCATCCGGCACCAATCTCGCAGACTGGATTTCCCTCATCAGCTGTCATATAACAAAACTACCGAACATGAACCTAAATGTCAAAGCTACAAGGTCAAATTCCAAACTGCCAAACTGTCCAGTCTTATGCATCAAGGTAGTACTCCTCGGGGCCGGCATCGCCAGAACCGCACTGCGAGACCCGACGTCCGGCCTTCTTCCTGTCGGACGCGAGAATCTGGGCGAATTTGGACTTTTCACGGATCTTGGGTCCGTTCCAATAGAAGATGTAAATCGGGGTGATGAAGATGATGGATAGGAAGCCGAGGAGGGTGGAAGGCCATTCGAGGGGGAGTGAGTCGCTCATGTTTTTGTACACTGTCAATTAGCACCGCACCTGGATATCTTTTAACACGTGGTGCTGGTCTTACTTGGAACGGAATACATGGCTGCGATACCTGCCAGGAAGTCTCGTGCTAGGGCGTTGCCGCCGGTTGCTGAGGCGGAGTATGGTCCGTAGGAGGCAATCATGTAGTCGATCGTGGCCATATAGATGGAATACTGTCTCTGCGTTAGACCGGTTCAGCGAACCTGAAGAGAAACTTACATTTGCTATCGCGATGCAGCTGGAGAATATCATCGGCGCGATCCAGTGGACATGGGGCGGACCTAGACTGGTCCATGCGAAGCCAAAAAGACCAACCGTCAAGAGTGGAGCAACTAATACTATTATGAGTTTGAGACAGGGAAACAGAAGGGAGAAACCTACCCCATAGCAGCCAGTATAGACGGGCTTCGGGCTGGAGCGCGTCAGGATCCCGTTCAAGCACCCGGCAGTGGCGATGAATCCAGGGCAGAAAGGAGAACCAAGCCAGAAAGTATCCAACCATGATCCTTTTGCATAATCAGCACTTGCTCCCTCGGTTGATCATTGAGTGAGACTTACGGAATGAAGGCCAACCCAGTTGTGATGGTATTGAATCCCCACTGCATGTAGACCGGCTCGTAGGATTGCAGGAAAGTGAAGATCAACGCGTCACTGAAGCCACTGAGGAGGGACAGCCACAGCACAATGGGCTCCCGAACAAACATGATGAACGGACGAGCCCAGACCGATGCAAAGTGCTTGATGTCAATCCGTTTGCCCTTGAGCTCATCCCCACTGTACACATTCTCGCCCTGCTTGCGTCTCCGTTTGGCTTCCCTCGTCACGAGAATGGTGCAGCGCGTCTCCGGCACCCAAAAGTGCACGGCTTGGACGAAGCCACCCAGGATGAGCTGGAGCCAAAAGTTCCAATGCCAGTCCAGAAAAGTTGCCACGAAGCCTCCCACAATGGGCGCAAGGACTGATCCTGCCACCGATGCCCAGACAATGTACGCCACCGCGTACTGTTGCTGGTCTGGTTCCCACATGTCCGCAACCATACCGAGTGTCACGGAGCCACCGGCAGATGACAGACCACCCAGCGCACGGGCGACCACGATGGAGCCAAAATTGGGGGCCAGGGCACATGGCAGTTGCCATATATTCACAAAGAACAAACTGATTTGCATGACGGGCCATCTCCCATATTCTTCACTCCAGGGAGCCCAGAATTCGCTACCGAATCCGTAGGCAATGAGGAAGTCCATTTGACCCACTCTTGCAGCTTGCTTTGAGATCTTAAAGTGTTTAGAGATCAGACTGATTCCGCTGGCGTAGAAACTGGCATTGAAGTTCATGGAGATCTGAACCATGACGACAACTGTCAGGATCAGCCATTTCTTCCATACTGGGTAGGAGAACCCCAGTTTGTCATAGCAGTCAGTCTCCTTCAACTCCACCTTGCCATCAGTCCGCCCATCAGCCGCCCCATCGGCTCCGTCCGCCTCTTCCTTCTGCTGTTCCTCTCCATGGCAGGCTCTAGTCTGTGACGCAGGGGAATGCGCTGCGGCACCAGCAGGAGTCTCTTGCTTTTCCCCATCTGTCTCTTGCTTCTCCCCATCTGACAAGCCAAGCTCCTGGGAAACGTCGAACTCGGCATGGGAGTGAGACATGGTACATTGACTTTGGATCGGGTATATGGTTCAATAGAAGGTTGCGAGCGGTGCTCATGGTGAGTCCTGGCCTCAAGCTGAATGGGGGTTTTTTCTCCATTAAATGCGTCTCGAGCTCTGCGATGCGAGAATCACCCTCTTGCCGGGCCGGCCTGGACTGCACTTGTCAAGCCCTTCCTCCGATTGGTTTGACGTCACGCTACCATAGGCCAGGGTAAGCGCTACCAAGCTTTCCCAAGCTTTTTGGATGTGGAGGAAACATCCGGGGAGGGTAATGCAGTCGACTGCCAATCGTTCTCCGCACTCGCCTCCGCGATTAAGGAAAGGATAGGGCGCAAGTGTACCCCGGGGAGGTGGGAACGTGGACTTCTCAAACCTAGCAGTCGGCCACCCCGAGCTTGCTAACTGCGGCGCGGCCACTATGAGCCGGATCTGCATTCCGAGGCTGCGTGAAATAGTCCTCCCAAGTCACTCGTAAGTCTCTGGGGAAACGGGGATGCTCTGGAGTCCTTCAAAAGTTTCAAGAGGGGATCGTGGAGAGGCTGTCTCGTCAGCAGGACACCATGTGTTTCTCCATATCTCTGATGATGATGGAGTGCGTCGTCAAGATATTACATCATTATGCGACTGTTTTCTCATTCTCTCAACTGTAGTCTGGTGAATCAGTACGCAGTCTAAGGATTTATGAGGGTGAAAAAGAGGAGCTTGAAGGGAAAAGCAAAAGACAGTCGCGGTGTCACATGGCGAATTATGGGCCTTAGGCAGCCTCCAACCTGGGTAAAGGCTCGAATGCAAGACATCGCTTTGAAGTGATTGACAAGAATTTCTGTACTTTAATCCTTTTGTATGAGCAAACGAATGGTAGGCAGAGGATCCTAGTACACTTGGGATGGCATTCCATTCAACCAGAGTGATCTCATAGTGTCATCTTCTAGGTACATACTTTGAAGGGCCCAGTAAAGGAGCCCAGTCAAACAATGCTCATCAATATTTTCGTTGCATCGTCTGCAGAAGAGTGTATCATCTTCCTACAGTCTACTTCAGGTAAAACGCCAGATCCGCTCCCTCCGCACGCTCACAAGCCAGCTCCCCATTTCCAAGATATTGGAACGGATTGGTCGTGTTATACCGGATGTCGAAATGTTCGCCGCGGATAGTGCTCATGAAAGCTGAGTCATGGTTAGTATTTTCTTGTGGATAAGCAGCAGCAACTCACCCTTGTAGTGCAAGACACTTCCCGGATACATCGCAGTGACGGTGTTGCCCTCTCCCTTGTTCTTCTTACTGTACCAGGCATGGCAGCCCTTGGACCAGACCGCGCGTTTAAGATTCTCCTGCGCGAAGATGTTGTAGTCACGCACGACGGAGTCTTTGACGGCAACCGATCTGGATACGTCAGAGATGCCTGGTAGACTAGGGACAGACACACTTGATATCTTCTGTTGCTATCTTTTGAACCCAGTCTAGCATGTAATCTGCCGTCCAGGTGAGCATCTGTGGCACCGAGCCATGTCCAATAGGGCAATTCGGGCCAGCGAACATAAAGTAGTTTGGGATACCGGCCGCGCAGACAGAAAAGTACGCCTCGGGCTTCTCCTTCCACTCCTCGTCGAGGCGTCGTCCGTCTCGGCCGACGAGCCCCCAGGCAGGAATGAAAGAGGTGTTGAATCCGGTAGCACAGACGATCAGATCAAACTCTTCGACGCCTTTTTCTGTCTGAATACCGGTCTCGGTAATACGTTCGATGCCGTCGAAGCAGATCTCCGCGTTGTCGGCCTGCAGGGCTTCGAGGTAGCCGTCTCCGGGGCTGAGACGGCGACATCCAATCTCATACTTTGGGATGAGCTTCTCGGCTAACTCGGGGTTCTTGGACAACCGGGCTCGCATAACGCCGTCGACGAGTTTGAACAGGAATTTGTTCTCTTCGGAGCCGGAGAGCATGAGCCGAAAAACGGAGTTGACTCTGAGGGAACATAAGCACAATTCCGATATTGGCAGAGACGAACATACGACTCCTCAACTGTCTTTCGGTACTTGAGAAACTCCTCAGGGTCATCTCTGAAACGCTGCTTCTCCTCCTCGGTGAATTCAAAGTTCGTCCCCATGCCATCCTTGGTCAGATTCCCGCAGAGATTTGTGGACACCCAGGTCGCGCGGCGGATGTAGTTGACGATTCTTGCAGCTTTTGGCTGGAGGGCCGGAACGAGCTGCAGAGCAGAAGATCCGTTACCAATGACGGCGATTCTCTTCCCTGTCCAGTCGTAGTCCGGATCCCTGTATTGTTAGCCGCAGAGTAGCAGCGGACTGCCGTAGCGCTTACCATCGGGCACTATGAAGGAGTTTTCCTTGAAATAAATCCATGCCCTCAACATCAGGCCATCTCCATTGACTGTCCTGGGTTAGTCTCAAACTGGACGACCGAAGGAATAGTTGCGTACTTTAGGATACCACTACCATCCAGGACGACATCGGCTACGTCCTCGACGAGCGAACCCGCCTGCTCCAGCGTAAGATTCCACTTTCCGTCTTTTTCATTCCAAGCCGCTTTTCGAAGCTTCGTGTTGAATGTGATCTTGTCTCTGAGGCCGTATTTGTCTGTTGTGTTGACGATGTAGTCCTGGATCTCTGATCCACTGACATAGAACTTGGACCAATTAGGATTTGGCTCAAATGGGAAGACATAGCTATCTGTTTGGTGTTAGATCAAGCAGCAGTGGATGTGCATAAAACCTACGGGCCGGAATGTCACTGCCAAAATCATCAGCGGACTGTTCCAACGTAGAGAAAGCTAAGAACTCACCATCCAACACCGGGATAGACATTCTCATACCACGTCCCCCCAACCTCTGGGTTCTTCTCGTAGATAGTATAATCGACAAAGTCCATTGATCTCTCGTGTTTCAGCTTGTACGCCAGTATCAAACCCGAGAAGCCTGTGCCTATGCAAACCACCCGGAGCTTTCGAGGTGTAAAGGCGAATTGACTTGGGTCAACAGCCCAGTCATCCTGGCTGTGGCCGTTTGAGACTGAGAATAATTCATTCGAAGGCATCTTGCTAGTACTTGTCCCTTTTCGTTGATGATGATCGGACACGGGGGTAGGTTGAGGGGATATATGTCGGGTCATCGACCCCTTTCGCCAGTTGCTCCGGGGAGGAGCTCAGTTGCTGGGCCCTGTCCGTCTCTGTTCTGGACCGTCGGATAAAACTCCAGCTAGAAGCTTGCGAGGGGAAATAGAGCCATTGGGCTAGTTGCATGACTAGTAGGTTTAGCGGACGGGGTGACCGTTTGACAGTTCGCTTGACGGGGAGTGCTCTAGATAGTGCCACAGATTAGAATGCGTCAGTGCAACGTCCAGTATGCACTCCACAACCTATTTATTAACTTATATGCACCCTTGATGGCTCCATTTAACAGCCATTTACTTGGCGAGGTAGAAATCGCTGTACAGCCGCTGCGGTTACCAATGCCGTTTCCCCTTTCCAGGGGTAATGGGCCAAAGACCAAAATACCTAATCCCATTTCCAATTCGGCACTTCGTTCTGTACGTTGAGCCGTTTCATCCCTGTCACTGCAAGGATACATGTGAGCCGTCTTGGTACTAATGCTGCCATGATGCCCTAAAGCGTGCTAAATGGCTCCGTCCAGTGGAGACGTCGTTGTGTTGGACCGTCGCGCGTGTTGACAGGAGGAACATCATGCGAACTGACTCTAATCCCTGCAAATTGATTATTGAAGTGGAGCGTATACAAGGATGGTAAATAGCAGACTTGGTCGACCATTCGGAGTCACTAGACATTCCGAGATTTGTGGTAATGCCTGTTTTCTGCCTTTGGGTCTTCGAATTCCCTCAAACTCAAACTCTCTGGATATGCCATGTTCTTCGTTCGTCCATTGCCGATGGGAAATCTGCTAGTCAGATTTCAGAAAACTCATGACTCCTGACTGTTAAGCTCTCGATTGCGATGTCGAGTCCGTTCGGTGAGCCTTCCCCAGGCATAGACCTCAAAGAAAACCACACGCCCAGAAACAATGCCACGGTCATCGCATTGTACATTCTCGCGATCATTGCTATTTTATTGCGAATCATCGCAAGGCTGAAAGTGCAGCATGCCAATGTCCTGGTGGATGACTGGTTGATTGGCACAGCACTTGTATGTCTCTGTCCTTGATGCAGGTATTTTCGGGCATACTGAGCGAAAGCAGATACCCGTCACGGCGAATCTAGTCTGCACCATTATGGGTCTGTACCCCATACTGATCCCGCGATAGGTTCTCAAGGATTAACCTATTGTAGGGGGCTACTATGGCCTGGGGAAGCATGTTTGGGTGGTCGAGTTGGACGATGTGATCATCGTGATGCAGGTATGACCAGCCACATTGGGCGATAACTGACATGAATGAACTGATTCCTACAGCTTCTGTTTGCATATGTCCTCATCTATGTTGTCGCGATCCCACTCATCAAGCTCTCCATCATCTTGTTCTATCGCCGTATCTTTGGCATGAACTGGGTGATGTGGGTTTGTGTTTTCCTGACTGTCGGCTACTGGTTCTCGTGCACTATTGCATTCCTTGTCTGTTGCCGGCCATTATCCTATTACTGGACGCAGTTTCGGGACCCCAGCGGGGGCAGATGTATCTTCAACCTCTACCCTTTCTACATCGGCAACGCGGCGGCCAACGTGGCCACGGATGGTATAATCCTTATGGTCCCCATCCCTCTGGTCTGGAAACTTCAGATGCGAACTGCACAGAAGATCCTGGTGTCCGGTATCTTCCTGTTGGGGGGCTTGTACGTTGCCCTGTCCCTGGTGAATGAGCAGCGGGCTACGCTAACGATTGCAGCGTGTGCGTCGCGAGCATCGTCCGAATCTATTTCATGACCTTCCTCAGCAGATCTCTCGACATCACCTGGATCATGGGCGACGTATTCATCTGGTCCAGCGTGGAACCATGCATCGGCATTGTCTGCGCCTGTCTGCCAACCTTGCAGCCTCTTCTCAGATCGACTCTCAAGAGCATCTTCGGGTCTTCTCGGATAGCAGGCAAGTTTGGCGCGAGCTCGTCTCAAGAGGTTGAGCTCGATCGTAAACGACGAAACCAGCGTATCTCAGGCGGTCATAGGAAACATCGTCTCTTCCGCTCCCTTGACGACAGCCAGCGCAAAAGCAATGATCAACGTTTGATTCTCCGTCCTGAAGAGGACGAAGCAATCTTGACGACGAACTCGGAGGCAGTTGAAGGGGATAATTTTGCGGGAGGCCAAGGCAGCCACAGGGAGAGAAAGGATAAAAGCTCCATGTCGATCCGAGTGCATCGGGATTTTCAGTGGCAAGAAGAGCATGCTGGCCGATGAGCATGAAGAGAAGCTTCCTTTTTAGAGGAAGCAGCTAGCCTTGTATCCAGAACCTTAGCAATAAGCTAAGATTGTTGCCTCCGAGACTGAGATACCCACTCGAGAGCCTCTACCTTGACATCAACTCCTATAAAGTCGTCATTATTAGAGTCAAGAATAAGATATAGACAGTATGGTTTCTCTTTGGTCTACCTGCAGAGATTCTCAGCATCATCCTCGAATATCCCTTTTCATATCATTGTTTTTCACCAAAAGACCATTTCCCCGGCAGCGACAAAAGACAGTATACGTCGTTGACATCGTTCTTTACGAGGAACTCCTCTGGCCCACATGGACATGCCTCCCCCGTCCACATTCAGACAAACACATCGACACGCTCACGATAACAGTCCGCGTTATTGGTCTATTCACCATCTCCATCTTCCGACGAAGGCACAATTTCGCTCTGCAGGACGGTCGAGCCTCTCCGCATGACCTGGGCATCCTACGCGGTTCTCGAGTGCTTTCTGTCTTGTGAAGTTGTGCCTCATTTATGAAAGAAAAGCAGAGCGGGGACTGGAGGTCTTGTCATTCAGATCTGGTTGTCGATTTTTTCCAGACCCTGAGGCAAACGAGGATAGCGAGGCACCAGTGGAGATGACGCCGAGGGAGTAGATGTGGCGGGCGACTTCTTCATCAGGGCGGTTGATACGCAAGTCTCAAGGCTTATGCCGGCGAATATTTTAGCTGGATTTGTAGAGAGGTATCTTCGACTTTGGTTGGAAATTTGGAGGGGAGTTCGTGGTACGGTGAGATGCTGGTGGTCCGCATTGGGAGGATTCGGATCTATGGGAAGACTGAGGAAAGAGTATGATCTAGGCGAGGTATTGGCCGGGTGTCATAACAGTGAGTGGAAGACTAAAATGACAGTGAGAAAGAAGCTGCAGGCTTACCTGTGAAAGTGATTTGGAATTGATACTCTTCCCATTTCCATGAGGGACGGATAGAGAAGAGAACCTCTTAGCGAAGGAGGTTAAAGCAAGTTAGATATGATAAGAGCTATTACAACGAGCTCACCAGGCGCTATCACTACTATCCATATTCATACTACACAGCTGCAGACCACTCGTCAGACATCTTGCTCAAGGGCACCTTCACTCTTTTAACGATACGAAAAGGCTATCTGCTAAAAACATAGATCTCTTATTTTATCCCTCCCTCTCAGCTTGGTCAATCTTTTTCCTCCATCAGTATCCGGAAGTAGAGCTCAAGCAGTACAACATCACCATGGAGGAGGGAACTCACATTATCGACCCCGAAGGCGAAGTAATCATCGTCGTGCGTAATCCCAATGCACCTTTCGCGGTCTGGAATGATGAGAGTGCTCAAGCTGGAACTGCCGATTCTCGTGAGTCACTAAGGTACTACCTACTAGTCATATCTTGACTAACAACCAGCAGAAGAATCAAACAACGTAGCCGAGACTGTGGCCCTTGTACTGATGTCCGATAGCGCCCAGATTGATGCTTCGAATGACGAGTCAGCCACTGGGTCTGTCGAGGAGGACAGTATACCTTCTAAACCTGAAGTCCGCATTCAAGTGTCCGCGAAGCACTTGATGCTGGCGTCTCCCGTGTTCAAGAAAGCCCTGTCCGGCAAGTGGAAGGAAGGTTCAACTTTTGTTCGAACCGGCTCAGTCGAGATTGACACGGAGGGCTGGGATGTTGAAGCTTTCTTGATCCTCCTTCGAATTCTCCATTGCCAACATCACAGATTGCCGAAAAGGGTGAGCCTCGAGCTAGCTGTGAAGATCGCTGTTCTCGCAGACTACTATGAATGCAATGATCTCGTGGGGTTCATCCGTGATGCGTGGATTGACCATCTAAGAGAAGAACTTCCAAAGACATACTCGCGGAACTTGATCTTGTGGTTATGGATCGCTTGGTACTTTAAATTTCCCATAAAGTTCAAGAGAGCGACCTCGATTGCCATGTCGCAGAGCAAGGATGAGATCGTTTCTCTGGACTTGCCGATTCCAATGCGTATCATTTGTGAGTCTGTAACGAGCCTCTCAATAAGAAAGATTGCTGACCAAACGATTCAGACGAGATGAACCAGAAAAGACAGCAGGCTATATGCAAGGTTATCCTCGCACTTCAGCGAGAATATGAAGCCTTTATGACAGGATCCAAAGGTTGCAACTTCGAGTGTAGCTCCATCATGCTTGGTTCTCTCATGAAGCAAATGCTCTCAAAGGGTCTACTCGAGTCACAAGTCCAATTTTATTACAAGGGATTCAATGTCACAGGCTTGACCAAGTCTGTCCAGTCGTTTGTTGCCCCAAGGTGGAGGACTTCAGTCTACTGCTACAATGGAGACTATCCCGATCACAACTGCCCCCATAGTTCCTTTTCTCTATTGAATAGTTCAAGCGATACAGTGGAAGGTCTCAAACTGAGACAATTTCTTGTTGATTGATTTCTGGCGTTCATTTGCTCATCACTCATAGCTATGGTTCAAATTGCAAGTCAATATACACACGCACAAGTCGATACATCATCCTAGATGGTTCTACCTTACTCAAACCTGCCTCTGTTGCAACGATGCAGCACACATCGCAATCTCCTGGCGAACAGCGTCATTGACAAGATACTTCCTCGTCTCAAACACAATCTTGTCCATCTTCTTCACCTCCTCCAGTCCAACATCCCCCAATCCATCCGAAACGCTGAATCGGAAGTACCGGTGTTCCTCGACTAGATCATAATGCTCATCGGCAAAAGTCTGCGCTTCAAACTCCGTATCTGTCAGAATATGCTTCTTCAGCTTAAGCTCTTGGATCCATCCCCCAGTATAGTTCATCTCAGGCCGCATGCCAGTACCCAAAGACACCAGACATCCCAGCTGACTCTTCAGGTTTTCTGATCCCCATACATCCGCAGCATGGCGCCACACTTGTCGAACAGCATTGTTAGCTCCAAGAGCCCCATCGAGAAACGCCCGCCTATTCCCCATCACCGGATCGATTACTACCAACGGATCAAAGAACGACGGCGCAGCGGAAGTCGCCCTTCCAGCCTCCCAGATCTTCAAGACTTTGTACAAGTCCCTCTCTCCGCGGAAATGATGGAAGCTCGTGAAGCTGGTGACACTGCCAGTTGTTTCCCGCGTCGCGCAGACAAAGACGCGGCAGGACGTATCAGGGTCCTGGAGGAGTGCATCCTCGTCCAGACCCTGTTCGACCACTACAGTCTTCAAGGCCTGTTCGAGCCTCTTGCTGTCGAAGCGCGCCCTAAAGGAAAGCCGTGGAGTGACGGGGATATAATTCTTCCTGGTAAAAGCCTGCTGGGAGAGTCGAATGTATACGTTGATGCATTGGTCCACGTCCATCTTGAGGCGGCCCAGCATGATAGCGATTAATCTGTTTGGGTTAGGATATGCGACATAGAGCGCTGTCTGGGCTGCTTGGCTGGCAACTCACCCGCCTGTGCTTGTCCCACCGATCATATCGAAGACTTCACATGGTTTTGGTGGACGATATGGATCGATTGCTTCCATCATATCCTTGAGAACATAGAGGGAGGAGAGACCGCGGATGCCTCCGCCGTCCAGGGACAGGAGGTTCAACTTCTTTTCCAGATGCATCGTGTAAGAATGTTGATATCGAACTTATCGCAAGAAATGATACTCGACTTACCTGCGATTCTGACCTCTTTATATGCTCGATTCTACGGTCCTTATGTATCCGGTAATAGGGATTGTTACTTTAAGACCTCGCAAGCGCCGACCTATAACGAGCAATCTTGGCCAGTCATTTGCATCTATAAAAATAGATTGTGTTATAAAAGGTTTCAGATAAGTCTGCGCTCAATCTGAGCCTATTAGATTTATGAAGCGAGAGCTGAGTGCTGACCATGGTCAACAGCTAAACGCCGTAGATGGCGGCGCTTACTAGAGCGCAGAATGTTTCAACTGAGCCGGCGGCTATGATCCCTGTACTGAGGTTTTATGAGATATTTTAAATCTGTCTTGATGGTGGTCTAATTTATACTGTTGAGATCATTGCATATGTTCACCTGGTGGTTGGAACTGGCACATCTCGAATGGCGAGATTCTATCCAGCGCCTACAGAAACATACAATGATCGGCCTTTCGAGACTCATTCTTCTACCAGTCATTCTTGAAAGACGCTTCAGGGCTCTTATTGCTTAAAATCTCTCATGTAATGCCGGGAGGGACAGCTGCTATCAGAGTAACGTAGCTCATGGCATCTGAAGGAATGGGCCACAGGACAGCCAACACAAGAGAGGTCTCTGTTCGATTGCCTCGTCCATGGCGCTACACCATCAAACCTTGCACAGCTTGGTCTTTACCTTCTTGCTGCGTAAAATATACCGGTCCCTACGTCTTTATTCTTACCTGAATCTGAGACAAGCAGCATGATGCCTGACACTGGCCATAAGGCTGAGTTTGCAGTCCATTCTACATCATTTTTTAACAATTCGTCGCTCTATCTAGTGCTTCGTGGACTGATCCAACGAACGAGATGTGACACTGTTGGTCTTCATAATCATGGCGCTGCTTGACACTTATATGCCCATTCTATGGATCACCGAGACTTGAACTAACCATGTGAATCCTGTCATAAAACTTATAACTTTAAGCTCCAGACATACAAGCATCATGGAAGAGTATATCCCCCATCAATCACAATATTAGCGCCCGTCATATAACTCGACGCATCCGAGGCACAAAACACATAAGCCTGTTTACCAAATCAGCACTGCTGCTCTTCACCTGAAAGAAAAACTCACCCCCTTGAGCTCGTATGTATCCGCAAACCGCTGCGCAGGAACCATACTATACCACTTCTCCCTCCACTCCTTGGGATGGATATCCAGGATATCAGTCTCGATGAAGCCAGGCGAGATGCAATTTACCCTGCAAAAATCCACCCATTCGACAGACAGACACTTGGCCAGCTGCACCACCCCGGCTTTCGAGGCATTATACTACTCCCGTCAGCAATCTGCAGCTGCATACACGAGACAAACATACCGCAGCCTGCTTTTGCGGAACATTCACCAGCGTCGCGCTCACAGACGCCGTGAAGATGACGTTGCCGCGGCCCTGGTCCTTGAAGATTCGCGCGGCAGCCTGCGCGGTGTAGAATGCGCCGTCCAGGTTCACCTGCATGATCTGCTTCCATTGCTCGGCCGAGTAGTCCTCCGCCGCGACGTTTGAGGTAATCCCCGAGTTGACGACGATGATATCGAGGCGTCCAAAGTCGGAGGCAATTTGCTGGATGGTCTTTTCGATTTCGGCCTTGTTGCTGACGTCCGCTTGGTAAGCTGCGGCCTTGACGTTGTTTGCGGAGGCGATTTCTGCTGCGATGGTGTCGGCCGTTGTGGACGAGTTGTAGATCAATGCGACCTGATTATGAGCTTTCATCATGAGCCAAGGAGAGACGAGGACATACATTGGCACCTGCTTCGGCTAGAGCACGAGAGACTTCCAGTCCGATGCCACGAGCGCCACCTGGTCTGATCAGCTTTGTCGTTAATGTATGCATGCTTTCATCGGAAACTTGCCAGTTATAGCGGCCACTTTGCCCGTGAGGTCAAAGGCCTTGAGCACATGCTTGTTCTCTGGTTTCGCGAGGACCATCTTGTATTCTGCTTGAATCTGAAGAGATGCTCTTCAGAATGCACAATGAAGTATTCTCCCCGCGTCATCGACCTCAACCCCGCATCGGAGGCCCTCCGACGCAACAAACCGAGGAAACGACGACAGTTGTTATTAACAGAGTCTGTAGATCCAGAGCCTCAGTCTTCTATACGGAAGGTACTCTATCCCATAAGTGGTCAATATCGCGATCTTACTTGGACATAATAGGGCAGATGGTAACGCCTGGCAGACATCAAGCCTTGGACTCATAAGTCTATGCTCCATTCTCAGGGATATGCACGATGACCCCTGAATAGTGGTCAATTCTGGAGAGAGGTACGTCATTTCACGCAGTCAACCAGAGATAGTGAGATAGAATGCATCTTGTAAGCTTTCCTCTGTAGATCATAGTCAAGTAGCACAGTAGTCTCGTGTGATTGAGAAATAACCTACAGGAGCAGTACCAGATATTGAGTCTCTAGTGTACACAGTGTCTAGCTCTAAATGCAAAACAACGGTCATATATACCCATAATTAGCATCACGATCATGATCATGATCATCGTCTCAATCACACCCGAACCGAGGAACTCGGCCTTGGCATCATCCCCATCCCCATCTTTAGATCCTCCTATATTCCACATCACCAGCTCACATCAATTATCACCATCATCATCATCCCAGAAAATAAAACAGAACAGCACCAAAATGTCCCTGTCAACCCCCTCCAGCCCCCTAAAAGCCACCTCCATCGGCTGGCTCCTCGTCTCCCTGGGCCACACTGTACGGATACCTCCCCCATCTCCATCCATCTGCATCTGCATCCCAAGCCAAACCAAACCAAAGCAAACCACAGTAGATACTAACCGCTCGAAGCTCTCGGCAGGGGACTGGCAATCCCTCCCGCAATTCCGCCAACTGCCTAATCTAGCGTACACCTGCGCCAAGGCAGGCTGGTACCAGGGTAGTGCCTTTTTCCTCATGACCGGTTTGACCCCTCCCTGCGAAAGAAAAAAGAAAAAAGGCAACGGATGCTGAAACAAGGCTGGCAGCGATGATCAATTACGGCTGGGCGCAGAATCCGGCGCTGCTGCAGGAGCCCATCAACAAGGCGATCGCGGCGTTGATGACGGCGATTGTCTGGGTGAGTTCTGGGTGGTATTTGAAGAAAGGGGTCAAGGGGAATGGGGTGGTGGTTGCGGCTATGGGGGCGTTGCAGGCGTGGGCTGCTTTTCGGTAGTCATTTTAGGTCCTTTGGGCAGTGATCTTATGTACCTTTGGACAGTGGGGAATATGAGTGGAACAATCTTGTGAAGTATATACAAAGTAAGGTATCATATACTTGAAGAGATGTGAAAACCGAACGCTCGAAGATACCATCTTATCCAACGGGCCAGACAACACCACTCTAATGCAACAAAATCTCAGACTGACAATCACTTGGGTTCAGCAAACGAATCGTTGGCAGATACGGCTCGACGCCCCCAGCCGCTGAAGAATCCTCCTCCTGCACTGTTAGTGACCGGCTCCGTGGCGGATTTACCCATATTCGACGGGGACCGGCCAATAAAGGAATTGCGCGAATTGCTTTGTGACAATGATCCTTGCCCTCCGATCATCTTCCTCAACGAGTCCAGCTTCGCCTTGACTTCTTCCAGCTCCTGTTTGGCCACCGCCTCGGCCGTCTTGGCGTTCACCAGTTCCAGCAGCAGCGTCTCCTCTGGTGCAGGCGTGTGGTTCTCCGTCGACAGGACCGACTGGAGTCCGAGACTGCTTGACCTCTTGTTGAACGTCGTCGTGCTCTTCTGCGAATTTGACCGCACCAGTTTGAGTTCCCGGAGCCCGCTGGCCGACCGGCTCTCTCCCGAGTCACTGGTCGGCGAGCCAAACGTCTCTGGTGGCGAGTCTGGGGTCGACGTCTTGATGGTCCGCAGCTCCCGGACCGTTCTCTCCAGGCGTTGGCGGTCTCGGTAACCATCCTGGATGCGACTGCGAGCCTCTCGCAACTGTTCTCTCAGCGAGGCCTTCTCCTGTTCGTGTTCGTCAATGCGACGCGTCAGATCGAGACACCGGCCAGCTTCGACCTCGTGCATCTCCTTCCACCGATTGAGATCCTCCCGGAGTTGCTGCTTCGTCTGGGGGATCGAGACGCGCTTCGTGGTGACCGCCTCCACGAATCTCTCTTCCGCTTTGCTGATAAGATCACTCGGTGGATCATCCGCCTCCATCTCCTTGATGTAGTTCAACATGGACTTCGCCAGCTCCTGGTCCTCCTCCCGCTCCTCGCGCTCCTGCTGCAGCTCCCGCGTAAGATCTGCATGCTGCCGCTGGAGATCGCTGAGCGCCATCAGCAGATCCTCTATCTGAGAATGCAGATCACGATCTTTGTGCTGCGACATGGCCGATTTGGCCCGTTGCTTGGGTGGTTCCGCCGAAAGCTCCGTCGGTGCTGTACTAGCGTCGGATGTTGATTCTATCGAATTGAGCGTGGAGGTCATGCTCTGTTTGGATGCGGACCGGCGGACACTGGCGCGAGCTGACATGCTGCCGTTGTTGGGGTTGAGATTGAAGGACTTAGTCTGAGAGCTCGATCCCGCCCAGAATCGGCCCAGGAATCTCGACGCCGCGGCCTGCATCTGAGGGAAAGTGATGCCTGTGGGCACCCCTTGTGATTGATTGTAGCTGGCTTCCAACGCCTGAAGGCTTTCCTTGGTGACCAGCGATGTCAGAGAGACAAAGTCGTTGACAAAGTCGTCAGCATGGCAGGCGTATCTGCACATATCAGTCAGCTTGTTCCTGAATTTCAGGGCTGGTGCAGACTCACGTATCCCACAGACTCCTCGACAGCAAGAATTGCATCACATCTTCAAACTCAGAATAGGCCATGATTTTCTTCTCGTTCCTCTGCATCAGCGACAAGGCGACACGCATCAAGGTTTCGCACGCCCCTTCCAAGAAAATGACATCGTAAATTCGAAG